CTGATTGCGCCAGGAAGGGTTTCAGTGTTGCACGAATGAAAACCTTGGGAGAGAAACTTAAATCATTCAAATTATGCTCCAATGTGCACCTTTAATAAATGAAACCTCAAAGCTGACCTTCCGGCGCTGGTTCATCGAGTAAAACAGCTACCACATCTTCGTCTTTTTTGTCATCAACCTACAAAAAAGTTATTCCGGTTAAACTTCTGTCAGTAATATTGATATACTCTTGCTGTGCTCAAAGAACTGAAAGTTGCCTCTTTCATTTCATTTTGAGGGAGATAAGAGATACAGGGTACTTTAACAATGCACTGCCGTATTTCCTCAAATACGCCCTCCTTCCCTTCGCCACACTTTCTTATATAGTAGGAACGCAAAAAATACCTGTTTTTCTATTATCACTTCATTCATCATTTGAAGCTTCAACTACAGCAGAATCCGTGCATGTAGAAAACAGTTTCTTTTTTGACCATTTTTCTTTCAATAGTTTCGTTTACATGAACAGTGATGCAAGGTTTTTGTTTTCATATGAAGATTTCGCCAAAATCTAGGTTGTAAACACGGTTATTTTTATTGAAGGAGGTATAGCCCTCTCCTGATCGTAAAATGATAAAAGTTCTAACTTTTTTCCGACACTTAGCAACATTCTCGTTAAAACCCGTAGTAGAATGACGACGGCTACCGCGTTTTCCCGCCAAAATGACGCTGGTTCACGCGCGCGCACCACTTCAAATTGATGAAATATCGTCCTCGTAGTCGTTCTCGCCTTACAATCTAAACGTCTCTACACAAAGATATGTACCTCTACAACATACGCATCTTTTGGCCCTGTACACAAATCCAGCTCAGCTTTAGGCCCCTCATCCTGATCCACATCAGCAGTGATCATAGTAGGGACATTCTGGGATGGACTTGGCGGAGGTGTGGCCTTAGGGGTACTCTGCAAAAAAGATACACATTGAATACCAGGAAAAAGATGAAAACAACGCTACGATCTAGCAAGACAATTCAAATGATTCAAGTTATTCTCATTTATTTTGAATCTCAACAGAGCCTTTTTCTCCTGAGTTGCTAATTAAAAGGAAAAGTAAGATAAGAAAAATATTCGGTGTTATCCCATTACAAACAAAATCAAAGCTAGCTTATTCTCTCTTGAAAAAGGTAAAATAGGAAGACCTGGCATAGCCCCTTTAAAGCCTTGCCAAATATTTGCTGTTATGAAAAAAAGAATTTACTTACTATATGGACGGTATCTGCAAGTCTAAAGCTGGCTCTGTTCTTGTTAGTTGTGTCCACGATTTGCCTCTGGATCTCAGCGAGCCGCTTATCTTCTTCAGCAGACAAACGCTGTATAAAGTACAGGATTTAATCTCTTGAATTGTTACATAGCTGAAAATTTTTACCCAACAGCGAGCGCCCTCATTGGTTATTTCGAAGTCACATGACATCTAACAATGAAACCGTTTCCCGCCAAAATCTCTGAGCGCGCAACATTGCAAAATCTATGACGTCAGAGTGTAGCAGTGCACTGTTAACCGCGAATGTTGACCGACGACCGCTGTTACAGCAAGGTTTGATGAATTTCCAGCTTTAAAATTTCCAGCTGTGTAACAAATCATTCAAAGACTGGTCCCAAGGGAAACAGTTACTTTTGTTTCCCTCGAATCTCAATGTTTCCCTTGCGATTCTCGGGAAACAAAATTAACTGTTTCCCTTGGGACCAGTCATTAACTGTTTATTACAAAGTCACAAGCTTCTTGGTTCCTGATTGACTTCAAGTAACCCTAAGTATCGAATAACTCACCCGTCCAGTAATCTTTAGCAATGGAGGGGCAGGCAGGGATGCCAAGAAAACAGCTGTAGATGACTGCAAGAAAAATTATAATTTTACAATAATTGAGCAGTTTGTCGAGCGCTAATTAGTCGAGAACTATGGTAGATAAGAGAAAAGCCCATGGAAATGTCGTGATGATTTGTTCTTCTCTATCTTTCGCGCACAATATTCCAAACAACACAAACAAAACTTTATTCTCACATATTAAAGCTAAATACAATTGTTCTGCAAATTAGCAAAAAAAAAACGCTCTTTGAGGCAGGGAAAAGTAAATGTGTTGAAAAGTGATAGTGAAAGTGGATCGACCTAACAATATTGCCTAGTTCCTAGGCCTCATTATTCTGTGAGGCCAAAGCGTTTCAGGTCACGTGGTCGGATACGTCACGAAATGAATTGACCGAGAGGGACTGGGAAAACGCCGTACAGGGACTAGGCAACTAATAATACAGAAGCTGATCTGTAAAGTTAAAGATATAGTTTATATATAAGTCAGGAGAAGATTAAGAGTTAAGGTAATGACATTGGTGGTAGATACGGGAAACAAAACAAAATAAGTATGCAAATATTATTAAGTTTTCATTTGCCTAATATTACAAAGTATTTGGAGAACTTCAATACAGTCATCTGTTTTCTGAAGAATCTCTAGGAGAAATTGTTTCCAGTTCTCGCAAATTCAGAGAACCTTCAACGGAAATGGACGTCAAGAACTGTCCACCCTATTGTAAGTAAAAGACAAAACAAATCGACAACAATTTTCTATGGTCTATACTCTTATCGACCATAGAAATGACGGAAAATCACACGCTCTCCCTCGCCCGCGGCTTGTGATTTCACTTGAGTGTTGACCATTTGACATCGTTTCTAAGGTCGATAAGAGTACAGACCATGGGTAAATTCTTGTAGATTTGGTAACAATAATTTAATAATTCAATTACTTCGCATATGCATATGATCAAATGCGCGTACACTAAGTAGTGATGAATTGCACTGACTAATTGCTGTTTTCTGCCTGAATGAGATGAAAAAGAATTTATTAACACGAAAGTGTTTAATGTTTGCTACGTATTTACCATAAGGGGATTTCAAAATTTTTTTTCTGGGAGATATGTTGTACTCCAGGGGTTGTATGTTAGAAGGGTTTGGGTGACTATATGCGCCGCTTAGGCCTCAAAATTTGCAGCATGTTAAATGATACCCTTTTCATGAAAAAATACCACATATTTTCCCCAGTTCCGGGGAATTAATAAAATTTGGATACTCTGTTCTAGATCCGGAGTCCCAAAATCCTAAGGCCATTGAACGTTGCATAGGTGTATTAAAAGAAAAGTACCCTCCCCAAGGCCTATTTGCTCTTTAAACACAAAACAGCCAGGAGCAGGGATATCCTGAGTGAGTTGAACAATAGAAGGTGTGAACAATGCAACACTGAGTCTAAACATAGCCTGTTCTAGGCATTCAGATAGTGGGCTACCTCACCCTCTCACTGTTTTTCATGCTCGCATCCTGGAACAGGCTAATCTAATCACTGAAGGAGAACTAAAGATCATTAAGGATTGTCAGGGAATAAGGAAGAGAGACCAGTCAGCACTATCTTATAAATATAAACACTTGCAAAGGAAAACGCGCATGATTTTGAAATTAATTCACACGGCAGAGCTTACCGCTGTCCCAACAATAAGAGTTTCTCCCACAGATATCTGAAGGTGAAGTCCAAAAAGTGCATTCATGCCTTTAACCTGTTAAATCAAATTTGGAAAAAGAGTTTAACATTAAGGGCAGGCACACCTTTGGGTCAGTACTTTCAATAATATCCTTAGGAGTGAGCTCATAACAGTATTTTTAACTTAGCCAAGTACTACTATCAAATTTTGGCATTATAACTTTAAATCTACCGATTTAAACTATGTCAGATATACAAAGGGTAAGGTTAAGTTTGGCATGGCGTTCCTAAGAATTAAAGGTGAGAATCAAGTCACTATGGCAACCAAGGTTCGATAACCACCTTCGAAAAGGTTTTATTTATGTTTCCTTTATCATTTTTATTTTGGACAAAAACTAGGCAGAGATTCAATCAATTCCGAAGTTTATCATTCTCAAGTGTATATGAATTTTCTTTTGAATGGTGCCACACATTTGACATCTGAATTTGAATGCATATTGTGAAGGAAGCCAAAGGGAAAATAACTGCAAACATGACAACTTGAAATCCAAAAGGCATACTTTAATCAAACATACTTGATTAAGAAATAGTAATGCCTTACACAGAGATTATAATACTCCTGAAATTGTATCTTGAACTAACACCTGCATCTCAATAAAACTGCATTATCTCTCCAGTTCCGGTGAGCTTGCAATTCTTAATGAACCCTACAGCTGTAACACAGGGCTTTTGTTTTACCCCTTGTAGGTCTACCCATGCAGGATTTGTTGATAGTTAGAGGCAAGACCAAGGACAGCCCCTCGCCCTATACGTTGGGGGTTTGCAATTGGTCTGAGGCCAATCATGCATCACCATTGTAAAACTTACTATCAATAATACAGAAACAAGACAAGAAAAAACTGATGATCTTGCCCATCCTTCCAAGAAAAACATTTCATAAGTAGGTGGAGCATGATCGTCCGGGTGAACGTAGTCCTGAATAGGATAGTGATTGACATTCCAACAATCTGTGCGGTAATCATCTTCAGAGTCAAAGTGAGTTGTATCACGTCAGTTGATGGTATTAAACTCTGGTTATTGACCTGACTGGTCAATTAAGTCGCGAAGTTACTGGTCGTCTGTCAGTCAAGCCGCGATGTTATTGGCTATGAAGACTCGTACTGTCATTGGTGCGTTGAAACAACATTTCATTTTTACACTCACAAAATAATTATGGTCAAAATACAATCTCTTTTTTCAATCTACATACACTAGAGCTCAGGTAGTCTTACCATGGCATGGGAAAAAGCCATGAAATGGCAGCTACAAAAATAAGCCAGAATTTGCTACTTTCTTTTAATTACATGTTAAGGCAAATTGCTCCCCATCTTCCTCTTCTTAAATTAAAACCTCGTGTATATGTTTCAAGCTAAACATTTATGACTAAATGAGGAAGAGCCAATTCTCCCTTAAACCTAATTCTTACACTGAAGTGAAGTGAAATCTAGTTGTCACACAGTCAGTCTTTTAAACTGAGCCCCGTAGCAAAGTTCTCAACATATCGAGCTGTTGAATCTCATAGCACATTTTATGTTGATCACATTTTCGTCGAACTTTGTTCTCTAACTTTGTTGCCAAGTTCGTGTCACCCTTCCAATAAGCAAGCAATGATTGACCGTACGTGAAGTATACTTTGCTTCTTTCTGCAATTGGCTCAGATTGGTCAGCAATGCGGTTGAAAATAGTCTCTGCAATACTGACATCTGATGAGCTGGGCTCCTCTTCTAAGATGCCATGTTGGTAAAAACCTAAATGAAAAAGTGCCTTGCGAATCTTGGCTTGAACAATTGTAACACTTTTATCGACAGTAGCTTCTTCACAGAAATCAATGCATTTATTCAAGTGATGTAAAATGCGTTCACGGTCCTCTTTACTGTTTTTCCCTGACGACAAAATGATGTTGGCTTTGGCATAGTTAACTTCAGCAATGTCCTCATGACAGTCTCCAAGACTCAGCATCATTTCTGCCTCATCTGCTTCTTTCATGGCTTCATCATCTTTACCACGATCATGTAAAATATATGCTTTGCGAATCTTTATTCGGGCATATAGTACAACTCTGCAAGCATTCAAAAGAAAAGCTAATGACGATATGAAGAAATAACGCAACAAGTGTATCATTAAACAAAGTCACTCGTTCTTGTTCACACGCTAACTATACTTTAAGTGATCGAAATTGTCGTGCAATGTCGAAACGACTTGTATCGGAAACGAAAATAAAGCGCGAAAGATATTATTTTAATACCTATATGCTTTCATTTTCAAAAATAAATACTTCCTTTTTCAAAACAAAGTCAATTGATCCTCGATAAGACTGAAACCGTTCGGTACGAACTCAAACTGAAAACAGTCATCGCGTGATATGTGGCGTGACTTATTTTCCCGTGAAGTTTTCGCTTATATTTGTTGTTCAAATAACAAAAAGGTCGTAATGCATGAGCAATCAGCATATGATCTATGCTTATGTAAATTGCAAGTCAAAAATCGGTTGTAAACTTTGGGTTCTTGGTAAAATGTACAAAGATTTGAGTTTGACAATTTCTGACTCATAACATCCGAAAATTAAGCTGTGCCATACTTATGTAGGCAGGCGATAATTGGATTCACCCATATTTATTCGCCAAAAGGGCCTTTGGAATCAGTCCATTTAGAACTTCTAAACATTCATCCTTTTTCGATTGATGACTAAGCGCTACAGCTAACTGAATACCAGCAAACATCTCCATATCTACATCATCGTTAAAGCCCTGAAGAAACTTGTCAAGTTCTTTCCAACGAAAATTGTAAGACATAGAACTGGATTCGTTGATCAGCCGAATATATCTAGCGCTGTGGAAAATTGCTGGTTTAGAGCGAGATGGCGATAGGTCAACATGAGGGCTTGAAAGTTCACGTTCCAGCTTGTCCATTCGACGACAACACTTTGAAATGATTTTACTGTTTTCGGAAGCTTCAGAACTTGACATATCATCTTCTTTTGTTTTGGGCGCCGATATGTTCATTTTGTATTCCAGTCTTTCAAGATGTCTTTCAAGAACAAGAAGACCGTCGTGATCTTGATGTAGCAATTCTTTGTACCTCACGAGATCTTCTGTTACGAATTCTGTCTCGGTTCGCAACGTCTTCAGTTTTTTAACCAAACGATCTGACCTTGTAAGCAAATCTTCCACAGCTTGTATCAAAATATCGAAGTTTGCCGTAAACGTTCTCCGAGAAATACACGCTTTAGAAGCGTGTGAAAGCACCGTGTTTCGAACTTCCTTTATTTCATGGATGGCGTTTTTAACTTTTCTCCAATGATAACCAGAACGTACTCCGCTTAAAGCGTGAGAGTAGAACAAAGCGAAGACCAACGTTGTGACGTCCCATTCCTCTAGGTCTCCAAGCCTCAAATGATCTTTTATAGGCTGGTACTCTTTCGAAAAAACTGGATCGAACAGACGGGAATATCGCGATGGTAGTCCTTCTTCCGTAAGCATCTGTAAACCACTTGTTCCGTCATTTTGCCACGGCGTAGAAGGGTAAAGATAATTCCATTCTCGTTTAAAAGCTTTTCTCAACGCACAGGTCGAGTGATCTATTACACCTTTGGCCAATCTAAAATATCTCAGTTCTGCACTGCTGTAAACTGCGCACATTTTCAAAGGAAACAATATACTCTGCCCTCAAAAAATTTTATAACGTGTGGGTCGCATGTGGCACAAGGTAACCGAAAAACAATTTCATGGTTTTCTTTGTCGGACAAACAAATAGATGCAAAGCAGTAAGGGAATTTCCCACTTTCGATTTTCAATTTACCTCCGCGTGAAACTTCCGTCAGTTCAACTTCACTGAAAGCACGTGATTAAATCTCGTCTGTCTAAGACATATGTTCATTGAAAGGCGATACATTGAAAACGTAACTAGTAAGACTATATACATATAGCTTTTTACGGAAACACAATCATTTTATGGCTCGCAATAACAACTTTTCAAGTTTCCATTTTGCGGTTTGCCTCTTACCGACGAAGATGATCGTTTAATTTCATCGCATTGATTTCTGATTTCTAAATTGGCGGATGGATTTTACATTGTAATTAGCACTCGTGTTCCCAGCAGCCGGGACATTACGCATGTAAGAATACAGCCATTTTATTGATAAAATAATCTAGTGCTGTGTTCCATTCAAAACTCAAACTTGTACACACAATAAAGTTTTCTCACTCTGACAGCCCTGTCCAACGCGTACGTTTGCGGATAATTTTGAACAGAGATTATTTTTCTCCGTTTTAGCATTCCGTTCACACAAAAACGAGGTTTTCAAAAAAGGTCCCCAGAGCAGCCGGCCTCAGGTTTGTCAATTGAAGTGCTGTTAGGAGTTACCAACGTAAACTAAGGACCTTTATTTTAACTCGAATTTTAGAGTTGTTACACTATACCTAATATCTTCGGGAAACAGATTAAGATCCCAAAAACTGAAAAAAAAAATACACAAAAAAATAAGACAAAAATTAGGGAAAACTATTCAAACGTATGGAGACTTTGCATACGTCGCTTAAAATCATTATAAGTACAGTTCCTTAGTTCGTCGGGAAGATCGTTCCATTGCTGATATTGCGGAACCGTAACATTACATTAAATTTACTATTAATTTTATTACAAACAGTAGATATGTGGCTGTCAAGATTAAGTCTATTATCTATAGTCATTCCGAAAATCTCTAACTCTTATTTCACTGGAAAAATAGAATTTGCGGTCAGTTTGACCAATAATTAATGCTTGGTGTTTCTTTGCGTTCACGATCATGCAGTTTTTGGCTGTACCATTAGTTTGCCATTTGGACGTCATTACAAATGTACCTATCTAGAACAAGTGGGTCCACATCAGAGTGGTTGATCTGATGATCATCGGCGTAAGCGTTTAATTTAGTTTGCGTAACATGGAAAAACAGATCATTTATAAAATAATGATCAGTAGGGATCCCAAAACGCTACCCTTTGGAATTCCTTGTTTAACACTTTCCCAGCTAGAGAATGTGTCCCCAACCTTCACCAACTGAGACCTGTCTGATAGGCAATCTTTAAGAAGGGCACAGCTTTCCACGTCTACGCCATATATAGGCCTTGAGCTTGGCAAGAAGTAATGGAGGTCGGATGACATCAAACGCCTTGGATAAATCCATGGAGACCATTGCAACCAGCTCCCCTCTGTCCGGCATCCTCCTCCAGTCTTCGTTCATTCTTAGCAAGGATGATTAGCAGCTATAATACCTCCAGTAAGAGCTAACAAAGTCCGACAAGATTGCTCGATAGAAGTCATCAATCTGAAAGGCTAAGAGTCTTCCAAAAATGTTGTTAAATACAGGAAGAACTGTTACAGGTCAGTAGTTGCACAAGAAAGCGACTCAATTCTACCACTCTTATTTTGCTTTTCCTTGCACCAAGGCTTTCAGATTATCAAGTTGTTGGATCTCGAAGCCCAGCAGATGTCGCTCACATTTTTTTCTAACTTTACTCTCAAGTTCTCTTGCCATCCTTATGTCACCTTGCCGATAGGCCAGCAATGATTGACCGTACATGAGGTATACTTTGCTTCTTTCTGCAATTGGCTCAGACTGCTTCGCAATGCCGTTGAAAATATTCTCTGCAATACTGACATCTAATGAGCTTGGCTCCTCTTCTAAGATGTCATGCTGGTAATAGCCTAAATGAAAAAGTGCCTTGCGAATCTTGGCTTGAACAACTGTCATACTTTTATTGACAGTAGCTTCTTCACAGAAATGGAAACATTTATCCAAGTGATGTAAAATGCGTTCGCGATCCTCTTTACTGTTTTTCCCTGAGGATAGAATGATATTGGCTTTTGCGTAGTTAACTTCAGCAATGTCCTCATGACACTCTCCAAGGCTTAGCATAATTTCTGCCTCATCTGCCTCTTTCATGGCTTCATCATCTTTACCTCGATCGTGTAAAACATACGCTTTGTTAATCTTTATTCGGGCGTGTAGTACAACTCTGCAAGCATTTAAAAGAAAAGAAATTAAGTAAATGTCAAAACGATAAAAACGGGGGTTTTAGTGTTTCTTAATATTTCAAACAAATTACTCTTTCAACTTTAAAGTGAAATGATGAGGGCAAACATATTTCGAGATGATTTTAAGTTGTCGTAGTTGTCTTTTTGAAGGTAAGACGTCCATCTGTCAAAACCTCCACGGTGATTGACTTCGGAAAATCAAAATGCCATGCTTTATGGAAATCACGAGCTTTGTCACAATTTCGTGAGGCGGTAGTCGCAAAATCGTAAGGAGTAGTGTAGACATCCTAGTGTTTTTCCTAACATCAACCAACTTTCAGTAAAACAAAGTGGACAGAAACCGTTCCGACGTTAGGGCTATCGGCCTAAAATATTGATTCTTGGGCTCTGACATGAAAACTCTCAAAAATTCGTAGCCTGCGTAGCTGGTGTATTTTCTCTATGCACGGGTTATTTTCTTGATGGCGGAATCTCGAGCGGTTTTCGCGAGCGGCGAAGCTCCCAAACTTTTCGCGGCTCTGCCGCCAAAAAGCGACAGCGTTTCTCTGCCAGCTACGCAGGCTAACAAATTCGCTTCAAACTGTCTCTCATTCTACTGTTGCTTGGGCACATTCATATTTACAAGTTTCTTTATAATATCTAAGAAACTGCTTTGATTTAACTTACCCATGTTTCGCAGTTAAAGCTTTTGGAATAAGCCCATTCAGCATTTCTAAACTCTCATCCTTTCTCGACTGATGACTGAGTGAAAGGGCAGCTTGAATACTAGCAACCAGTTGCATATCTTCATCGTCATTGAAACTTCGGAGAAATGTGTCTAGTCCTTCCCAACGAAAATTGTAAAACATGGAGCTGGATTCGTTGATCAGACGAATGTATCTAGCGCTCCGGAAAATCGCCGGTTTCGTGCGTGCAGGCGCCAAGTCAACAGGGCTTGAAAATTCCCTTTCTAGCCTTTCCATTCGAAGACAAAATTTTGCAAGGATTTTGCTGTTTTCAGAGTGTGACAGGTGATCTTCTGCTGTTTCGCTTTTTGTTGCAGATATGTTGAATTTATATTCTAATCTTTCAAGATGTTTTTCAAGCACAAGTAGATACCTCTCGAGATCTTCCGTTACGAATTCTGTCTCGCTCCGCAACTTCTTCAGTTTTTCAACCAAGGGATCTGAGCTAGTCAGCAAGTGTTCCACAGCTTGGACCACGATATCGAAGTTTCTCCTAAACTTTCGCCGAGAAATCGATGCTTTAGGAGCATGTGAAAGCACCGTGTTTCTAACCTCCTTTATATCATGAATGGCGTCGTTTAGTAATCTCCAGCGAGAACCACAACGTATTCCGCGTAAAGCTTGAGAGTGACACAACGCAAAAACCAGCGCTGTTACGTCCCATTCCTCGACGTTGCCACACGACAGTTGATCTCTTACGGCTTGATGGTATCCGCTGGAAAATGCTGGATCGTACAGTCGAGAATTTCTCGCTCTCAGTTGTACTTTTTCTTCATCGAGCAACTGGGAAACGCTCGTTCCGTCATTTTGCCATGGCGTAGAAGGATAAAGATAATTCCATTCTTCTTTAAAAACTTTTCTCAACGCACAAGTTGAGTAATCTATTACACCTTTGGCCAACCTAAAGTATCTCAGTTCTGCGTTGTTGTAAACTGTACACATTTTCCAAGAAAACAATCGACTGCGAAGCCAACCGCAAAAGGTGAATTGTTTTTCTGTCGCGCAGCAAACAAGTCTAGAGTCAAACAAGAAAAATCTTATCCCTTGTAAGAAGAGAGGAATACGAATGATCCTGCAACACTTCCATACGATATGACACGCCGAAGTACAATGCCAACTTTTCTGGGAAACAGGAGCCCAACAGATTTATGCAAAGCATTGAGGGGCTTTCTCCATTTCGTTTTCGTTTTCATAATTTTAACACCGGGCCAAAATAATGCTCTACCTGAAATATTGTTCAAAATAAATACTACTGTAGTCTAATTTTAGGATTTTTTTCTTTCAAAGCGTGGTTTTCAGGTAAGAGCGAGAATAAAGAGTGTTTCAGACTATAAATAACCAAGTGTCAACGCCAGCACGTGTAACTTGTTAATCATGTAAATTCTTAAATTAGTTATGCATGGTCAACGCGACAGAGGTTTAAGTGGTACACGTTTTTATTGGAAAACAGACTTCAACCGTCTCATCTTGGAGATGAGAAAGGAACCAAGATGAGAAACTAATCAAAGAAAGACTATCGTCAACTCGTGGGTACGTTGTTTAGAAAATAATCAATTAGTTATCACCTCTGGTTTTCCCACAGTGAATTTTAGGAAATGATAGAAATTCATATTATAAATATACTATCCTTGTTCTGGAAACACAATACTTTTCTTGCTGTTTATTGCACTTTAGTAACAGTTATTTAAGTATATATTTAAAAACAAAACAAAAAACAGCAAAACAAGTAAGCAAACAAGACAAAACAAAAAAGAAAAAAAAGGAAGAATGAAAAAGAAGGTCCTTAGCAAGATTTGAACACGGTACCTTCAGTTTGACCCGACCTCACATAGCCACTACGCCACTGAGGATGGTCGCATGATGTAGCGAAAAGTCTCAAATTTAATCCCTTTTCCATGGAACTTCCGCCGGCAAACGACCGGGGCAAACGATCGAGCCATAAAAACGACTCGAAGCAATGGGATGAAATTAAGGCTAATTGAAACCAGGCTACTGACAGTAAAAAACAATGTAAACGCATTTCATGGCAATGAAAGAACATATGCGATACAAAGCCAACACAACTCCTCCACGAAGTAGGACGCAAAACATTAGCTTATGTTTTCTTATCTCGATTTCCGCTGTTATTTTAAAAAGGTAATGCTCAAACTCACATCCATTTCCCCCCGTGATCTTGGGGAGTCCTTAAGAAGAAGAAGAAAAAGTGCCTTTATTTACCATACATTTCACC